GTGTCTGTGAAAATATTTCTGGCTAGTTTTCCCTACATCCCATAAAAAAGCATGCCACCCCCTCTGCAAGTCATGGCCTTCTAAGAATAATATTCTCTTATTGGTTAAATTCACCCATTCCTTCAACCATACTAAAGAGGCTGCACTATAATACAACTCCCAATTTGGAAGTGCCAGCCCTCCCCTGCTCTTCATATCCTGCATTGCCTTTAAATTTATTCTAGGTTTTTTCCCTTGCCAGATAAATTTTAGTTATTTTATTAAGTTCTTCAAAAAAAAAAATTTGTGTACTTTGATTGGGATCATCTGAAATATATAGAGGAATTTTGGAAGAATATTCATTTTAATAGCAGCAATCCTGCCTAATAATGAAAGTTGCAGCTTGCCCTACATTTCTAAATCATTCTTTACCTGTTGCATCAATTTATCATAATTATTTTCCTTAAGTATCTTACAATGTGCTGTCAACCATATTCCTAAGTATTTAACTTTCTTTATCACTTGTATTCCCATAACTTCTTCTAGTTCTATTTTCTGTTTTTCTGTTAATTTTTAGTCATTAATTTTGTTTTCTTCCTATTAATTTTAAGTTCTGCTACTGCTCCAAATTGTTCTAATTCATTCATCAATTTTTGTCCTCTTTCTATTGGTTCCTCAATGAAAAAAATCATATCATCCACAAACGCTTGCAACTTATATTCTTCTTTCTTAACCTTTAATCCTTTTATGTCTGGGTTCTGTCTAATTCGCGTTAGTAATGCTTCTAATGATAATATGAAGAACAGGGGTGAGAGTGGGCAGCCCTGTCTGACTCCTTTTTCTATTTTTATTGGGCGGGTATATTCCCCGTTTATTATAATATTAGCCTGTTGTGTATCATAAACAGTTGTTATAATATTTTCAAATTTGGTGCCTAAATTCATATTATAAATTTTTTGGATTAAAAATTGCCAATTTAAATTATCGAAGGCCTTCTCTGCATCTAAAAACTTAAGTGCAATTTGTTTTTCGGGGTGGGCTTCGTAATTTTCTAAGAAATCTAGTACTATTCTTAAGTTGTTCCTGATTTGTCTGGTCGGGAGAAATCCATTTTGATCTTCATATATATGCTCATTTAACGTTCTTTTTAGTCTACTGCTATAATAGAAGTGAATATTTTGTAATCAGTATTTAACAGTGAAATCGGCCTATAATTATGTATATATTGGGGATCCGAATCCTCCTTCGGGATCAGCGAAATCAATGCCCCCCTCCATGAGTCTGGCATCCTGGCTGCCAATAAGACGTCATTAAAAACTTCCACCATAAGAGGTCCTATTTGTTCTGCTATTGCCTTGTACAGCTCCCCTGGAATCCCGTCTGATCCCGGGGATTTATTGTTTTTCTGGTTCTCTATTGCTGATTTCAGTTCAAACCAAGTAATATCTTTGTTTAATAATTCTTCCATTTCTTCCCCAATTGCTTTATCCTTCACTCCATCTAAATAATTTCTTATTCCATCTTCGTTAACTTCTTCCTTTTTATATAACTCTTCAAAATACTTATGGGCAATTTCTTTTTTCTGTTCTATCTCCTGTTGTATATCCCCCTTTCCATCTATTAGCTGGTATATCAATCTCTTTTCTTTCCTTTTTTTAGTCTATATGATAGCCATCTCCCTGGCTTATTAGCATGCTCAAAATAAGTTTGTCTAGTTGTATTCAAATTTATAATCATTCTCTTTTGTTCAATTATATTCAATTTATGTTTAGTTATTATTATCTGATTTTGCAATGTTGAATCCTTTGGGGTACTCTGTAATTGAGTTTCTAATTCCTTAATTTTTTGTTGTAATTTGTTTTGCTGGCTGTATTTTTCCTTATTCCTCTTGGCGTTATAAGAGATTGTTATACCTCTTATTACTGCCTTCATTGTATCACAAATGTTTTGTTTTGTAGTTGCTCCATTATCATTTTCCTTTAAGAAATAATTTAATTCCTCCTTGGGTTTGTTGGTGTATTCTTTTTCTCTTATTAACTGAGTATTTAACGTCCATCTTTTCTTGGGGTTTTCCCTACCCTTCCATATTATCTGAATTGGATTGTGATCTGCCCATTCATTAGGTAAAATTTCAATCCCTTTTACCTCATTTGCTATTTCCCCATTCATCCATGCCATATCAATTCGTGTCCATATTTGATGAGGATTTGAATAGAATGTAAATTGTTTTTTCTCGGGATGTAATCTTCTCCATATATCAATCAAATCTAACTCCTTCATCATTTCCATACATATCTTGGGAAGCTCTCGTTCCCTCCTTTGTTCTTCCCCCCATTACTGTGGTCTTTCTGATAATCAGCAATAGAATTAAAGTCTCCTATGATACAAATATTTCTTTTTTCCAATCCTACTATTTTTCCATAAAGATGCTTAAAAAACTCTTTTTGATCTCCGTTCAGGGCGTAGATTACACTAAGAGAATTGGGATGGCATTAGTCCAGATCTGCAAAACCTTACTGTTTTCTACAGACCACTGAAGGAAGAAAATATCAAATTGCAAATTTTTCAAAGAACTAGTAATGGGAAACCTGCCCTCATTTTCATTTTAATCTCCTTCCTTCCTTCCTTCCTTCCTTCCTTCCTTCCTTCCTTCCTTCCTTCCTTCCT